AATGCATATCCATTAAATTACCAGCAGCATTCTTCTCAAACCTGGAAACAACAATACAGAAGTTCACATGGAAACAAAAGACCACAAATAGCCAAAAACAATCCTCAGCAAAAAAACAAAACAGGAAGTATCACACTCCCTTTATTATAAAACTACAATAATAACTTTAAGCTTTATTATAAAACTACAATAACCAAGACAGCCTGATATTGGTACAATAACAGGCATATAGACCAATGGGACAAGATAGAGATTCCAGAAGCAAAATCTCAATTTCTCTTTTTTTTTATTTTAAAGATGGGGGGTACAATTCAGGGTTAGGTATGCAAATATTCATTATGCAGGTACCCTTGTTGATGAGGTATGCCCCTCCCTTCCCTGGCAGTTTCCCTCAATTGCCAATCCTACCTCCCCTCCCCTAACAGTTTCCCACTACGGCCAATCCCTTTCTTATAGTATTATAATCATTGTTCAAAGTCCGCTTATGAGTGAGAACAAAACCTCAATTTCTCAACCAACTCTTCTTTGACAAAGACTCTACCAACAACCACTGGGGAGAGGAGAACATATTCAGTAAAGGGTGCTGAGAACACTGGCAGACCACATGCAGAATATTAAAACAAGACCCCTACCTATCACTATACACAAAAATAAACCCTAAATGGATCAAAGATCTAAACATAAAACCTCAAACTGTAAGCTCCTTAGAAAACGCAGGAGATACCCTTATGGAAATTGGAACTGGCAACCAATTCCTGATCAAAATCCCAAGTACCAATGTCATAAGAGATAAGATAGACAAGTAGACTCATCAAATTGACAATCTTCTGCAAAACCAAAGAAATCATCCAGAGAGCAGGGAGACAGACCTCAGGATGGGAAAATATATTTGCCAGCTGTGTATCTGACAAAGGTCTAACATCTAGGATCTACAAGAAACTCAACATGCCAAAAAGAAAAAAAAACAAACAGCCCCATTACAAAGTGGACAAAACATATGAATAGACACTTCTCAAAAGAAGACATAGCAAGCAGCCAACAGATACATGAAAAATGCTCAGCCTCACTAGTCATCAAAGGAACACAAATTAAAACCACACTGAGATACCACCTAACTCCAGTCAGGATGGCCATCATCAATAACTCAAAAACAACAGATGCTGGAGAGGATGCAACGAAAAGGGAACACTTCTACACTGTTGGTGGGAGTGTAAACTAATGCAACCTCTTGAAAACAGTGTGGATATTCCTAAAAGATCTAAAAATCAAACTTCCATACAACCCCGCAATCCCCGTACTGGGAATATTCTCGGAGGAACTCAAATCGCTCTATGAAAAAGATACCTGCACACATGTGTTTATCGCATCATTATTCACAATAGCAGAAACATGGAACCAATTGTGCTGCCCATTGAAAAAAGACTGGATTAAAAAATGTGCTACCTATACATGATGGAGTATTATATAGCCATAAAGAAGGACAAAATTATGAACTTCACAGCAACTTGGATGGACTTAGAGTCTATAATACTGAGTGATTATTACAGAAACAAAAAACTGAGTATCACATGTTCTCACTCATAAGTGGACCTTGATCAATTATCATAATACTATAAGAAAAGGTTTGGGAATCTGCTGGGGGAGTGGAGACATACCTCATCAACAAGGGCACCTGTATAATTGAAGGAGACCAGAGCATAGGCTGACAAGGTCCTTGTGTTCTTGGCTTGTGTTCAAGGAACCAAGCCTATACTCCCTCATCTCGGAGCAGATGTGATGTGGGGAGCAGACAAGCACTGCCACCGTAGCAGGCCTTGAGTACCCCAGGCTTGTAGGCAACGGTCTCGCCTGGAAGCTCTGCATCCTAGACAAAGTACATGAAGCAATGTCTTGAATGCCCACACATCTGAGTGCACATAGTACAGATAGAGTCTTAGCTACAATAAAGCCCTAGGTACAAAAAGATAAACACAGAACAGCTCGCCTTCTAGTAGCAGCATAATTCCACTGTGGTTCGCTCATGTCCCCTAACCTTGATTTGTTACTTTATAATAAAGCAAAGCAACATGACGTCAATCATACCTGGCCCAGATGCCTGGCCCAAAAGCTGATACTGCCTGTTTTTACAATAATCCCTTGTACAGTTTTGCTCTAGTTTTACCCTATATAAGAACCATGCTAAATAATAAACGGGTTCTCACCTATTGAGGAGAGAGACCTCCCAATCTCGCTGTCTCTTGTCTTTCTTTCTCATTCCCTCCCCCGATCTCAGGCCTTGCTCTGTGGAGGTTGGACCTCCACATATAATGAACATTTGTTTACCTAAACCTTAATTATTCCTCACATCTTTAAAATAAAACATTTTTACAAATAAATAATAATAAGTCCTTATTTGTGGTTCCCCTGGTCCACACCACCCAGTAGGGTAGGAGAAGGGGAGGAGGATGCTTACAAGAAAGATCAGGTTAATTTGTTGAAAAATAAAATAGCCACATTTTCTTTGCACTTTTGTCAACAGAATGATTAAACATGCCCTTCTGCTGTAGTAGTTAGTAGAAAAAATTTCAAATATATTGATAATTTAGCAAATAAGTCTTTTAACAAATTACTCAATCAGCTAATTGCTAGTCCTTAAATCACTATTTGGCAAACCGGTGCTCAGCAAATTGGTTTTTCAGCAAACAGATCTTTCGATAAATTGCTTTTCAGTGAATTGATCTGTTTTAGCCTATGGATAAGAAAATACAGAGAACCTCTACTCCCATCACGTTTATTTGACTCTATGTGGTTTCAGCAATTCAGATTTTGTGCTAACCAAAAGTACTTTAAGATCCTTTTATATTGCTCTCCTATCAGTGTCTGCAGCTTCTCACCCTTTTGACATAACTATGAAATCTAATGAACCATGCGTGACTCGTCACAAATCTGGTGTGAGTGGCTCTCCAAATACAGTTCTAGTCTGTTCGGGCCCCTTATAAGCTTGATCAGAATGCAAAAAAGGAAGGGAGGAGAAAGGGAAGGAAAATGAGGTGGTAGGGTGGGAGGAGACAGGAGAGGTTGAATGATACAAGTAACACTGAAGCAACCTGAGCTGATGCTGAAAATTTACAGGTAGAGTACAAAACCTTTCTCACTTTGGAGCCTGGCTGCAGTGTGCTCTCTTTTAAATCGATCAATCATCTATTTCAAACCACTTTGTGTTTCCACACAACACAGAATTCTTTCTCGTGGCTAAAGTTTGTTGGTACACAGTATGCTGCATTTTTTTCTAAGGTCTACTTTGCAAAACATGAAGTTGGTGTGTCCCCTGGAGCATCTGCAGTAAGACATACTTCCAACCAAAATTACCCCCAATGTCATATTCTACAGTATTCCTGCCTGATTGGCTTGATTCTAGTCTCTCTGCTCCAATTCAATGTAGGCAAGTTAGCAACTTCACCATCTCCCAGATTACTACCCTCCAACCCTGTGCTACCCCCATTTACTTCTGCCACAGTATTGTCTGTTGTTCAAAGCTCTCCAATCCCAATAATTGCATGGAACCTGCCATCAATTACCGAGGCCCAATTGATCTCTCCATTTTGCGGTGGTGGGGGGAACCCTATAGGTGCTGCTTGCCTGGGTCACTCATTTTGCCTCTCAACTCCATATATCTCATATCTTACTTACATCATGTATGTGTCACTCCAAACTCCATAAACTTCTTGAATTGAGGTGTTCTGTCTTACGTTTCAGCTCCTCCTTCTGTGATGAAGACATCTATGTACACGCTAATAAAGGTTTATGGAATTGAATGGAATTTTCAGTTGTAACTCTGCTCTGATTTAAAAATAATTGTGCTTGTTCATATGCTCAAAATAGACACCATACCAAATGACTTATTAAAAAGACTGCTTTCAAAAGAGTTTTTATAATGATGGGGAAATATGGTATTCAGAAATTGAATTGAATTGGTTCTTTGAAAAACAACTTTGGAACATCATATTCTTCTTACAAATTTGTTGAACAAAGCATACAGAGCTAGTGTATATAGATATTTCTGGAAAAATAAATGTAATATTATAGAATAAATTTAGGATCAAAATGAAATAATAAAGACAGAAAATGACTAGTTCACTTAAGAAGGAAAAAATCTTACAAAATGCAAAGTTATAAAATAGAGAAAAATTATTTTTATGTCACAGTAGGTCATAAATCGAGTATGAGTATTTTAAAGAGTGAATGTGATATTGGAGAATGATTAAACATATATTCTAATAAACAAGGATCTGAAAATAAAATAATTTTTGACAGAATGCTTATATACAAGTCTATTTTTAAATAGTAATTTTCTTAACGTTTTTAAAAAATGAACTTAAAACCACATCAATTTGTTAATGTAGCTTGTCCATATGTCAAGAATCTATTAGATACTTGCTGGCATTAAGATACATTCTTTATGCTCTATTATAATTGGTTAGGCTTTAATGTATTAAATTTTCATTTGAAAACTTCAATGAGAAGTATTGAAAAATCAGAATTAAAAAGGTTAAAAAATTTTTTTATTGGTTAGAGATTTTGTAATCAATGTTATCTATATAACTGTTAGGAATATTTTCAGCCTACATATGTCAGCAGTATATACTTAGTTATATAAAGATAAATACTAGAAGAAACAGCTAAAGACTTCAAAACAGTATCTTTGGGGCAGATAAAAATTAAAATGGATAGGATATGAACTTATTATTTCATTATAAGCACTGTAGTGCTAACTGATTTTTAAAACCATTTATTTATTACTATGAAAAAATTAAAATTAAATTGTAACAAAAGTGAGATGTTGAGAGCTGATCAGAGGCTCTGCAGGCCTGGGTGGAGTTTCCTGGTGGTGACCTTGAGGTGGGGATGCTTGGATAGAGAGCTAGCCATGAGGGTGGGGATGGAGTTGCAACTGTATTAAATGCAGGTTTTTTTCCTCTGGAGTTGTTTTCTAGAAAGAAGTCCTCTGAAGGCAGCGAATAATGTCTACAGTTGTTCAAGAAAAATTTAAGTGTAAGCATATTTTTCGAGATGTGGAGATCATCATCAGAATTAAACCGACTCAGCCTCTAAGAAGGAGGACTGCTGGTGAGGAGGATAGAAGAGCAAACTGTCACTTTCCACTGCAAGCTCATTTGAAACATCTGCACGTGCTTTGGAGACATTTTAAAAAGTAAAACCTTTTCTACCGCAATCCATTATGAATCCTTTCCAAAATGTAAATAACCACTTCCCAAAGGAACAGTGCCATTTTCATCTTTATTTCTCCCATGTGAGTCTGGTGCCTTGCACATTCTAAGTAACCAGCAGGTGTTGAATAAATGCATGAACCTTGTCGTGAACATCTGCTGCATATTCTCCATGTGCCCTTCCAGATTACTCTCCAACTTCGTCGACTCTGTCAATACCCCGTTGGTTCAGTCAGTGGGAGGCCCTTCCAGGAAACCTGACTACAGGAAAAGAAAGAGGTCCGGGTGTCTGCTCTACCAATTTTCTCTTTCGGTTTGGTCACGGTTTGGCAGAGGCTGTGTTCCCCTACCCATGTTAACAGTTCTTGCTAGGCAGCCAAGTTCCTTCAGCTACAGCTCTTGCCTGATTTCAGTAGTCACTTCCTCTCCTTGTTCCTTCAGACCTAGGGGAGATAACATCTTTCTGCTCTTACTAATCCCTTGTCTTAGTCCTTTCAAGTTGCTCTAACAAATTACCAACATAACTTTTTTAAAATCACAGTTTGGGAGACTGGAAGCCTCAGATCAGCATGCCAGCAAGGTTGGGTTCTGGTGAGGGGCCTCTTCTGGGTTGCAGCCTGCCATCTTATATCCTCACATGGTGGAAGAAGATGAGGAATCTGTTTTATAAAGGTGCTTATACTATTCATGGGGGCTCCACCTTCATGACCTAATCACCTTCCAAAGGTCCCAACTCAAAATACCATAACATTGGAGGTTAGGATTTCCATATGAATTTTGGGGTGACACAAACATTCAGCCCATAATATCCCGGTTTGCTTTACCACCTTTCCCAAACCTACACCTTTGTAAATAGTCCTTTCTTTATATTTCTTCTACTTCCTTTTGATTTTTCTTCTTGATTCTTGTTCTATTTCTTGCTCAAACCTTGACAGGTACAACATGTACCTAATGTCTTTAGTCAATTCAATTCAATAATTTTTTAGAAAACAAGGCATTGTGCAAAGTAATGTGGGATGATGAAGATTCTGTCTTGCCCTTTAGATGTTCAACATAGTAAGGAAAATGAGAAGAACTAGAAATAATTATATATTCATCATACAGACAATTTTATTCATCGTAGAGAAATGTAAAATATTAAAATAGAATGACTGGTAAATTCAGAGAGGAGAAACGACTTTCAAATTAGCTTTTATTTTCTTTGTTTACAAAAGGAGCTCTTCAAGGGAGTATGACTGGGTGGGTATATATCTGCTTTACCCTTCATTATAATTGGGTTAGAATAATTACCTTAATAAATACGTTTCTGGACCTGAGACTCAATCCAGCACATATATGACATATATGTGAGAGGTTTGATGACAGATGTAGGACAAAAAGACAGCCAAGGCCCTTTAGCATTAATGAATACATAAATTGTATGTTAAAAAGCAGAAAATACAAGGAGTTTAAGGTGTATAGAATTAGAGACACCCCAGGACAGAGGAGAAAAAACGGTCTCCCTGGTCCTGTTCTTTTCTGTCTACCTCCTCAATTTTGTCATGTGAGTGGTTATAGTATTTTGTTGGGGGAAGAATGCAATTTGTAGATTCAGATTTTTAAAATTATATAATAAGGCTCACCAGTTAAGAACATGAATTTTGGAGCCAGGCCGACTGCTTATGTTCCAGTCTTGACTCTGCTACTTCCTTAAGCAAGCCATTTAGCATCTCTGTGCCCCAGTTATCTCATCTATAAAGTGAGGATAGTAATCTTTATTTCATAGATTCACAATGAAAATCAGATGAGTTAGTATGAGCAAAGAACTTGCCTATATATAGTGCATACTCTATATGTTTTAACTCTTGTTGTATTTTTTGAAGCTTATGAAATCATTACGACATCCTTTCCCTGAATTAGAGTTAGCCCAGCACATGGACTAACTTCCTTGATGTGAAGAATTCTATGTGTCTAATGAAATCTCTTGAAATTCTACCGGTCAAATGTTTCTATCTTAACTTATATTTCCCAATATGGGTCCTGATTGGGCATGACACTATAAAACATAGCAAAATTTAATATTAATTCAGTAACTCAGGTCGGGAATGATTGTTCATGCCTGTAATCCTAGCACTTTGGGAGGCCAAAGTAGAAGAATTATGTGAGTCTAGGAGTTTGAGACTACCCTAGGCAACATAGTGAGACCTTGTCTCTACAAAAAATTTTTTTAAAAAATTACGAACTCATTAAACTGTAAGTTATGGAGGGCTCAAAGAAGGAAGACATTGTGCTGATTCAGAAGAGGCTAGTAGGTACTTCATGAAGGTGAGTATTTGAGATGGGACATTAAAAAATCAGTAGAACTTAGAAGGGGAAAAGAAAAGTACATGTCTATCCTCTTAGGAAGTCATTTTTAGTTACCAGATTGTGCTTGTCTTTTGTTTATACCAGGGTACGCTTTCTAAAAGCACTTAATCTTCCCAAGGCCAGCACTAATAGGCTCTGATGTTGCCCATTCTGGAAAAAAATAAAAGCAAAATAAAGGTTATATAACCATGTTACGAATTTTAATGCTTTCTGTTCCACTTTGGCAGAATTTCATTGAAGACTGGGAAGTCACAATAGGTAGGTACCCACTGGAGTGTAGGAGCGGGTGTGGGTGTGAGGGTATGTGGGTGCATGTACGGCCCTTCTCTTTCTGCTTCTAAGTCATATTTGTCTAGTTTATTTGGAGGTGGGGAAGGTTTGCCTTTTCTTTGTCCTGAGTCAATTTCACACCACAGCTGCTTCTCTCTGTCTCTGTTCATGTCTCCATGGGCCATCATTCACTTTACTGCTAGCTGCTGCCAGGACACCTGGCCTACTGTTCCCTTGAAAGGATGTTGCTACCCACTGCAGGTATCAGCAAAGGGGTGATGAGAATGGGACTAGTGTTTTTACTGCCATGACTTCTTATTTCCCACATCACTACCCCACAAAGTTGTTCTGGAAAATTAAATTTATACTGAAGATTTACATTCAGTGGGAATATATATATTCAACACAACTCACAATAAAATATTAGATGTCCTTGATCATAATGTCTTCTGAACATTTCACCACTGGAAATTTTCTTTCTTCTGTCTTTGTGTGTGTGTGTGTGTGTGTGTGTGTGTGTGTGTGTGTGTGTGTGTGTGTATTGGAGTCTCACTCCATCGCCGAGGCTGGAGTGTAGTGGCACACTCCCGGCCACCACAGCCTCGACCTGCTGGGCTCAGGTGATCCTTCCGCCTCAGTCTTCCAAGTAGCTGGAACTACAGGCACACGCTACCACCCCCGGCTAATTTATTTATTTATTGTAGAGCCAAGGTCTCACCATGTTGCCCAGGCTGTACTTGAACCTGCGGGCTCAAGCAATCCTCTCACCTCAACTTCCCAAATTGCTGGAATTATAGGCTCGAGTCACCATGCCCAGCCTCTTTCTTCTGTCTTATTGCCAAACTTTTCTCTCCTTCTTCTTCCCAAGCCCTCTATCCTTTTTGATTCACTTCAGTATAAAAGTTGTATTTATTCTTAGGTAGACCAATCTATCCATCTTTTTGGTTTATCATCCTCTTTAAATCTTTTCATCTTTAAATCTTTTTGGTTCATCAGCCTCTTTAAATGCATAGCCTTAGAGTCTCTCCTTTGACCCTCTAACAGCTCAGCAAGGTATTTTCATAAACAAAGACATTTTCCTGCCTAAGACAATTCTGGTTCCAGGTGTTCAACGGTGAATATGTATAATGAGATGGAGAGGAATCTTCACAGAGGAAACGTGTAGTTGAATATGAAAGGATCAGCCTGGACAGTTACTACTCCACTGTTGTGCTAGCAAACAGACAGTAGCAAAGTAGAAGTCCATCTTTGTTGAGTTGAGTTAAATGGTGGTTGACTACCTGGAGTTGGATCCCCTAGAAACAGAACTGAAATAGAGATTACTGTGCAAGGATTTCGCTGAGAGAATGTCCTCAGGTGAAACCTTCTGAGGAATGAGGAATGTAGGATGGGGCCAGGGAAAAAGCCAAAGATGTAGTTTCTGTCAAAATCTAGCCCTCACCTGATCACCCAGGGGTCTATGAAACAGGAACAATGCCACAACTCAAGACAAGACAGCCAGGCTGTTGTATCCACAAATCAGTCAGACATTGATCAGGGGCCACCCCGAAGGGAGGTTCTAACTTCCCAAGCATGTCCAGGCAAGGTGGTTCTTGTTGGCAGAAGGTGATTCTTGGGAGAAGGGTGTACCTGTGAGCTGCTAACTACTAATGTGCAAAGCAACTGGGGGGTGGGTACACAGCCTGAGGAAGACGATGAGGCAGGGACAACAACAGCATCTACTACAATGTCTAACCCCTCACCTCAGAACCTACTGTCCCAGTGTCCATGTCTGGAACTGACAGGCAGCCCTGGAGCTGGCCCAACTCAGGAGACGGGCAAACACACACCAAATTGCGTTTAGCCAAAGTCACTTTCTTCTGAGTTTTTTTTCCTTTTGTAACCCAAATCAAATTTCGACTCCCTTAATCTTTTGTATCGTATGTCATTTTTCATTTTCTCATGAGTCACTAACCATAAACATTTACCCTTCTCAACGTATGAGTGTTGCTTTGTTACACAATAGGTACTACCACAGTTAAGCTATCAAATTTTGGTAGATAACATAACTAGATACGTATGAGGCTGACATATGATTAAGATTTTGAGGGGCTTATAGGTTGAATTGCTTGGAGGTAGATTAATCCAAATCTTAACTAGCGAAAGACAGATCTACAAAAAAATTTGATTGCTCTTGCAAAAGAAGTAGATGTTGTATTCATTTAATATTTGATATGCAGTTTTTTTCCTAAGCAAATATTTGAAAATGTCCTATTTATCTGATAATTGCAGGTACAATAACCC